GCTATAATCTCGTACTTCTTCAATACATGAAGTTGTTCATATAAACTCGGTACAGGGTGTCACCTGGAACAGTGAAGAATTTCGAAATTTTCAAAAAGATCCCAAATGAACAAAAACTTTTTTTAACTTTGACAGCAGATGCATGAAGATGATCTCATTACCTTGGGAGATTTTTCAAATTTTCCTCATCTTTCATTTACAGGGTGATCTAAAAAAAATAACTTCTTGTTTTTTTTTCCTTGTAAACCGATTTTTCAAATATCAGGCTCATTGTGAAGCTGAAACTTCAGATGAAGAGATATGCAGATCAGAATTGACTCAAGATGAACATTATACAGTATGTCTCACTTCTAATGGAAGCACCCCTTTATCTTTTGTAAGTGTTGACTTGAGATTCTGAAATTTGCAGGAGCGGTAGATATACTGAAAATATACACTATGATCGAGTGGAGTCATCTCCAGTGATATACACTGCTCGCCGACAGCCATGGAACCTCCCACATTTCCGGAAAATTATATTAGGAGCCAAGATAGGTTGAAAATCACTTTGGATTCGAAATCAGGACGCCCAATTTATTAACTATACATACTTTTCTTGGAAGAATATCAGTTCTGAAAAATTAATTTTGTTTCACTTTTCATGGAAGCACCCCCGTATCTTATATAATTATTGAGGTAGGGTTCTGAAATTTGCAGGTGAAAGGGAAAGTATAAAGATAAAGTCGAATAAGTAAGATACGGGAGTGCTTCCATGAAAAGTAAGACAAAATTTAATTTTTCAGAACTGCATAATTTCCAGGAACAATATCAAAAGTTAGTCAATTGGACGTCCTGATTTTGAATCCGAAGTGGTTTTCAACATATCTTGCCTCCTAATATCATTTTTGTGGGTGGATCCATGGATGTTGGCGAGCAGTGTATATCACTGGAAATGACTACATTTGGTCATAGTGTGTATATCCAGAACATCTACCACTCCTGCAAATTTCAGGATCCTAGCTCAACAATTACGACCGATACAGGGTTGCTTCCATTAGAAGTGAGACACACTGTATAATGTTCATCTTGACTCAATTCTGATCTTCATATTATCCCTTCATCTGAAGTTTCGATTTCAAAATGAGCCTTAGATTCTGAAAATCTGAAAAAAGTTATGACTGCAAAACTAAAAAGTTGATTTTTTTGGGATCACTTTGTAAATAAAAGAGATGCGAAGTCAATTTGAATAATGTCTCAAGGTAATAAGATCATCTTCCACTGCGCCAATACCGGCTTTGTATAATACATAACTGCATACGCAATACGAACATTATAGGAATTCCCTTTCGTGCGCTCCAAGCGATAAAAAAAAATTATTCAGTCAATAATGACAATTCCCTGAAACCTATAAAAAAAATATGAAATGAATAATACATAACTACATTTCATACAATTTTTCCAATAGGTTTCAGGAAATTGTCAATATTGACTAAATAATTAAAGTGAATACGTTCGTATTGCGGAAGACTTTTTTCAGATTTTCCTCGTGTCCTAGTAAAATAAAATATATAATATTAGATAACTTACTATATCTATAAATCTAATTGATTTCATACAATTTTCTTACTGGGTTTCAGGGAAATGTCAATATTGATCAAAGATTAAAGTAGATGTTCCTATTGCGGGAGATATAGTAATTAGTAAGTAATTTTTTGTGGCTTTCCCCGTGTCCTAAGAAAATAAAATATGTAATATTAAATACATTTTTTATATAAAATTGAGTCTTTTCATACACTTTTCTTGCTAGATTTCAGGGAAATGAGATGAATCGGGGGGATTCCTTTTTTAGTTTTTCCGTGAACTAGTGAAATAAAATTTATATCAGATTATTATATTGACTATTCCACTCTTGATCTCGAGAACCAATCAGAATCGACCATTTTCACGGTTTCTCCTGTATTCTAGCGATATTTTTTGTTTATTAAATTTTATCGGACTTGCTCTACCAATACAAAAGCCGAATTGACCCACACGTGACCAACAAACCTCGTTTATCAGCGATAAAATTTTGACATCGTGTCTGCTCAAGATTGCTTTGGATTCAAATCTGAGACAATAACCTAAGTTCCTACTTTATTTTATTTACTTTTATAATTTGCGTTAGTGAGACATTTTGTACGAAAGGCGAGACAATTTTATTCTGGCTGGACGTTTCATGTGTAATTTAAAAAGTTTGCATATTTGTTGACGGTCTGACAATACTTGAATTCAAATTCCATTTTAAAGTTATCTTTTTCAATCACTCAAGTTATTGTGACTGACTAATATAATTACTAGCTGATGTAGCGCAAGTAATAGGGTTGTTGCGCGAGGATACGAGGGTCGATGGTTCGAGCCCTCGGCGACGTTATCTTTTTTTTAATTAATCCATGTCACATGAATTCAATTTATTTTGTTTGAATGGGATAGCAATAGTATACACTCTTTTAAGAGCAACCATCTCCAAGATAATAAAAAAAATACTGTTTATCAAAACTGTACATTCCACTTTGTGACTAACTAAATAGGTACATAGTCAATTTCTGAAAAAGTAAATTCTGTATTTCCTTACTATCATTATGTTCTTCTTCGCAGTTCGAGTAGGAATATACTTAAATTATGTTTCCTATTTCTTATATATATTGTTTCATTCAATCATGAAATAGTCATACGAATACAACTCGTGATACTATTTTTCCTGGAAATATTCGTCGATTGACATACTCCACCTTGCTGCTCTAATTTCGCTCATGACATTGATCCAAAACTACTCGCCTACGGCTCGTAGTTTTGATAACAATGTCATTCACGAAATTACAAGGCAACAAGCTGTCGTAACAATCACCGAATATTTCCGGCAAAATATTATCACTTGTGGTATTATATATGAATAATTCATTTCATATAATTTTCTTACTAGGTTTCAGGGAAATGAAAAATATTGTCAATATTATTTCAATATTATTATTGTCTAGTTATATAATAGCTGTCATGTGCCGGGAAATTTCCACTTAATAATATTAAATCTAGGTGCTCATGTTAATTAAAAATTTTCAGAAAATTGGTTACTATAGTAACTAGAGATGTACCGGAATTCCGGCGGTACCACTAAATCCGTCCAGTTGGCCGGATCGCTCCGACCTAATCGCTTTCCGGCCGGAAGTTTCGGATCTTTTTGGAAATTTTTGAGTTTTAAATTCTCAAAATATTTAGAATTCAAATATACAGTGTGACCCACTTCTAATGGAAACACCCCTGTATCTTACGTAATCGTTGGGTAAGAATCCTGAAATTTGCTGGGACTGAGAGATATACCAAAAATGCAGTCTATGGCCAAGTGGAGCCATCTTCAGTGATATACACTGCTCGCCAACAGCCATGGAACAACCCCAATTTCCGGAAAATGATATTAGGTGTTAAAATAGGTCGAAAATCACTTCAGATTCGGAATCAGGACAACCAATTCACTAACTCTTCATATTTTTCCTGAAAATTTTTCAATCCTGAAAAATTCAATTTTGTCGCACATTTCACGGAAGCACCCCCATATCTTACGTAATTGACTTTATCTTTGGACTTTCCCTTCCTCCTGCAAATTTCAGAACCCCACCTCAATAATTACTTGAGATACTGGGATGCTTCCAAGAGAAGTGAGACAAAATTTAATTTTTCGGAACTGAAAATTTCATAGGAAAATTATGAATAGTTAGTGAATTGGGCGTCCTGATTCCATGGCTGTTTGCGAGCAGTGTATATCACTGAAGATGACCCCACTTGGTCATAGAGCGCATTTTTGGTATATCTCTCGCTCAGGATCCGTACCCAACGATTACCTATGATACAGGGGTGTTTTCATTAGAAGTGGGTCACACTGTATGTAAAAATAAAGAAAATAATTTTTTCTGCAACCGACACAAAAGTCGTCCATTTTGATACCAAAATTAGCTCTTAAATTGACGTTTCTATTACTGTCACAAAAATAGGTATGTTGCTAGGCAACATATTTAGTTCCTAGGAGCTAAAGTTGAATTTTAGTTCCTAGGAGCTAAAGTTGAATTTTAGCTCCTAGGAACTAAAAAGGATCTACAGGACGTCATCAAGAATAAACAACATTGTGACGGTTGGTTATTTGGGTTGAGACGCATACCTGATTTGTTTCCAATTTCAGCAGATTTGGCATTTCATACCCATGCTGGAGATATAAATACACCCTATTATAGTTTAGTATTGAAATTATAAACATCTCAGTTAAGTATTTTTGTTTTGATCAGGGAAGCCTTCAAGATTCAAATACTTTCGTGATCTGTATTTCATTCGTTATTCTCGGGATGGATAACTTGTTTTTGTATAATCACGGCAAGCAATAGTTTTTTTGTCTCAAACAACGATATTGTTCAGCTTCATTTGATTATCAAGTCGAACACAGTGTAGTATGGAGAGGAATAAATAATCACTATTATCATTGTTGGTATGCTCACTAAACTAACATTGCAAATTTTGCTTTCGCTCGGCTTCGCTAAACGCTCCGCCTCGCAAATGCAAAATTCGCTTGTCAAACAAAGTGTCAGTTTTGATCCTAATAAAACAATCTACTATTAAGGTACTTTTAATTGGTGCCTACTCACCTATTGTTAAGTCGTTAATAAATCACAAATAATTTTTTTTAAAACAGTAATTTCTATCTAGGTAGAAAAATTGGTAATTAACACTCTGCATACTGTAGCTAGTTTAAAAAAAAAAAAAAAAATCAGCCTCAATATTTTCAATGTTTCACGTTTAAAAATAGGTTCCGGCCGGATCGGCAAAATACCCGAACCGGTGCATCCCTAATAGTAACAATATCGAAAAAAAGCATCTGATTGGTTGGAAATAACCGGTATAAAACTGTCAGTTCAATATCTTGGATTGAATGATTGTATCTTAGTCATTCCAGCCCTGATACCCCGATCCATCGGTTGCAGGTCGAAGGCCACCGGAGCGGGATGCCGTCGGCGCGGCTGAGTCTCCGCGAGGAGGACGTCGTCCGATTGGCGCTCGAGTTCCTGCACAACCGTGAGCTGCACATCTCGCAGCTGAGTCTCGAGCGAGAGACGGGCGTGATCAACGGCAACTATTCCGACGACGTGCTCTTCCTCAGGCAAGCATCCACACCTCAGACTAAATAACAATATTAAACTACTACATTCAGTACCGGCTGTCTCATTTTCGATATCCTCACGGGATATCTCCTTAATTTAAGAGATAGGGATTTGCGGTTTTCTCGAACGTTGGCTTCTCTTTTGTGAAACTCTGCTGAATCTCGGCGAGCTGCATATCTCGCAGCTGAGCCTGGAGCGCTAGACGGGCGTGATCAACGGCAACTATTCCGACGACGTGCTCTTCCTCAGGCAAGCATCCCCACCTCAGACTAAATAACAATATTAAACTACTACATTGAGTACTCGCCAAGCTCGGACTCCTCGCCAAGCTTCCATCTTATGGCTTGCCTCCCCAGCTATGTTCTCTGCTAGCTAGTTTTCTCTGAAACAGGTCTCTCCATTTAGTGGTCGACGGAGTTTCATCTGACTCTCTTATTGTAAACGCTGGTGTTCCGCAAGAATCAATTCTAGCACCAACACTATTTCTACTCCATATCAACGATTTGTTGGAAGCAACTTCATGTCCAGTACACAGCTTCGCGGATGAGAGTACCCTCCATACCGCCTTCTCTTCCAGAGCTCCAATACCAACCAGGCAAATCAGAAACGAACAAGGAGAAATGTTGACAACAACAATTCTCGAATGGGGATCTAATAACTTGGTAGATTTCAATGCAAACAAAACACAAGCATGACTTTTCTCTAGAAAAGCCGATGTCACTGTGCCCAACATAAGCTTTTCAGGAGTAACCATACCTTTGAAGACATCCATTTCAATGCTTGGAATTACTATCAGCAATAACCTTTCTTGGGAAAATCACGTGAGATCAATTGCTAAAAGTGCATCCCAAAAACTTGGTTTTCTGTTTCGGGCCAGGAGTTATTTCACTTCCAGTCAGCTGCTTATGATCTATAAGACTTTGTGTTGCTTGTTTTTCTTTTGAAACTAACAGTTGACATTTCTGTGTCCAAACTCTTTATCTAAATAATACAATCAAGTGACTCTAAGGAATAGGAATAAGGAATAGCACTATGATTGGTTCTGAATGCGTTCAAGGTTGGAATTGACCAATAGCAGACCTGCATTTTTATTTTTTATTCCTTATTCTCTACTCCACTACATTGTGTCACGACCTCAATTCTCTTGCTCCACAGGCAGCTCATCCTCGACGGCCAATGGGATGACGTGCTGGAGTTCGTGCAGCCCCTAGAGCTGCTCAAGGCGTTCGACGCTAGGAAATTCCGCTTCACGATACTCAAGCACAAGTACACCGAGCTGCTGTGCATCAAGTCGGAAGCGAACGCAATAGGTAAGTGACAAAAGCAACCCCCATCCCTCCGACAAATAGACTGAAAACTCATATAATATGCCCTGCAACATGACTGCTATCTAGACAGCTATTTGCCAAAAACATTAAAAACTATTTATTTTTATTATTATACAGGGTGTTCCTTAATGACATGCTAATATTCAAGGGGGCGATTCTTGGACCCATTTCAAGAATAAAACTTCATATGAACGTATGCTGTAAAAGTCCTGACTTTTGAGATACAGGGTATCAAAGTTGAACATATGCATAGATTATTTTTTGTCCACCCTGTATAGCTTTTCCTGATGGAAAATTTATTCTGCTATGTGACTGAAACGGTGCAAAAATTTCGAAATGTTACATACTGTGGTTATCCAGTAATAGATGTCCTGAATGATGGAGTACTCAGCTTAGCATTTACATCAAAATTTGAAGTTTGATCTCTTTTTTCGTTTTTTTCTCGAAAATGGAACGTCCTATCGGGTATCGACAAGAGGATCTTTTTTGTACCAAATTGAATGACTTTGTAGCATTTTAGTAAATTTGGAAATATTCCTTCGTTGCTCACTTCAAGTATACTAAACTACTCAACACTAATTTCGTCGCACACCAAAATGTCGCCCCTGTTATAATGTGAATAACTTTTTTCAGTTTAAAACAATTTGAATTTGGTTCACACTGTTCGATAGCCCAGTCCTTCAGCTATAATCTCGTACTTCATTGAAACATAAGGGTATTCACATAAAATCTCTACATGGTGTTTTCCGACACTGTGTAAAATTTCGGAATATTCAAAAGGCTCTCGAACGATGAAAATAAACTTTTCTCAACTTCGACAACAGAGGCATGAAGATGATCTCATTACCTCGGGATATTCCACGAATCAACTTCCGATATCTCTTATTCACAGAGTGATCTCAAGAAATCAACTTTTTGGTTTTGCAGCCATAACTTTTTTTCCACGTCAACCGATTTTAGAAATCTTAGGCTCATTTTGAAGATAAAACTTCAGATGAAGAGATCTGAATATCAGAATTGACTCAAGATGGCTATCAAAGATCTAGAGTTTTCTTGAAAGTGATCCAAATCTGGAACGCCCTCCGAATCTCGGTTGGGAGGAGAATTGAATGAAAATACTTGGTCTCGGAAAAACAATTCATTCTGGATGCGTCCATATTTTTCTCGCTCTCAGTAGTCAAGAATGTGCGTGAGAAAACACAATTGAAACATGTTCTTGCAAAAACATTAGACCATTTCTCCTCTGTAATGCATGGCCCGTAACCAACGTTACAAGAATCACAGTAAGTGACTGACAAATCAGGTTAGACGTCGTTTTCGAATCATAAACAGATTTTGATAGTTTCGATGCCGCATCTAACGCCCTACCAGTTGCAACTGATTCCACAAATGAGGGAACAAGGGTTATCTTCCCTCCAAATCGCGGATCTGCTAAACACGACAGTCCGGTCCATTCAAATGGCTTATCTCCGAGCTAATGCTGGGAATATTTTGTACCAGGCCAGGAGGCCAAGAAGGGGAACAACAAAGAGAACCACTCCTGCTCAAGACCGCCTCATTGGGAGAATTGCACGGCGAACCCGGACTTCAACAGCCTCCAAAATTCGTCGGGATTTGATCGAGGCTACTGGTGTACAGGTTTCTACTCAGACAATCCGACGCCGAATCCACGATCTTGGATTACAAGCAAGGAAACGAGCAGCCTGTCCCTTATTGAAACCTGTACACCGAGAGGCAAGGCGATTGTGTGGACAAAGACATCAAAACTGGGGAATATCAGAGTGGTATAGGTGTATGTTTACGGATGAGAGTAGGTTCAACTTGTTTCGCAAAGATGGGCGTGTGTTGGTATGGAGAGGAAGAAATGAAAGGTTCATGGAAGAAAATATGGAGGCAAGGGTGGCTTTTGGAGGTGGAGGAGTAACTGTGTGGACTGGAATATCGATGAATAGGAGGAGTGAATTAGTGATTCTGAGAGGAGAGAGTATGAACGGTGAGAGGTATAGAGATTTGTGTGTGAGAGATATCGTGGTCCCTTACGCTGCAAATGTGGGTGACAACTTTGTTCTCGTTGATGACAATGCGAGACCGTATAGGGCACGGCATTGAGCGAATGAACTAGCCGCCTATGTCTTCAGATATGAATCCGATAGAGCATGTTTGGAGTCGTATGAAACTGAAATTGAAAGAAAGAGAAGGACGAATGGAAAATTTGGATGACTTGGTGAATGCGGTACAGCAAGTATGGACAGCTATTCCCCAGGAGTTCATTGATAGGCTGATAAACAGCATGCCCGATAGGGTCAATCAAGTATTCACCCAAAGGGGAGGACCCACTAGTTACTGAATTTTATTGTTTTTTGATTTCTCATATTGTTATTCTCATTTTGTTGTTGTTCAATTAAAATTCAATGAAATTTGTTGTCTTGTCATTGCTTACTTACACAATCAATGCTTCACTATTGGGAACAAAATTGCTATTGTATAGGGTTTCCGAACAATAGCACCAGATTTGAATATGCCACCATTTTGTTAACACGAATTGTTTGGTTATTACTGTCGATTCGTTCGGCGCATTATTGCGACTGAAAACTTTACGTAATTGGCAAACTGTTTTCGTGAAACTTTCATCATTTTTGAAATGTGTTTTTACAATAAATAAACGTTGTTCGCTTGAATACTTTTCCATATTCTTAAATCGCATATTATGTAAGAGACAACTGTTAAAAAATCACTTTATAAAAAAAATCAAAATCAGTTGCTCTTGTTGGTACACCATTTATGATGAGCCTCAGCTGGTCGGGTTTGTCAGTCACTCATTGTGATTCTTGTAACGTTGGTTACGGCGGGCCATGCATTACAGAGGAGAAATGATCTAATGTTTTTGCAAGAACATGTTTCAATTATGTTTTCTCACGCACAATCCTTGACTACTGAGAGCAAGAAAAATATGGACGCATCTAGAATGAATTGTTTTTCCGAGAACAAATTGATTTTCATTCAATTCTCCTCCCAACCGAGATTCGAAGGGCGTTCCAGATTTGGGTCACTTTCAAGAAAACTCTAGATCTTTGATAGCCATCTTGAGTCAATTCTTATATTCAGATCTCTTCATCTGAAGTTTTATCTTCAAAATGAGCCTAAGATTTCCAAAATCGGTTGACGTGGAAAAATGTTATGGCTGCAAAACCAAAAAGTTGATTTTTTGAGATAACTCTGTAAATAAGAGAGATAGGAAGTTGATTCGTGGAATATCTGGAGGTAATGAGATCATCTTCATGCCTCTATTGTCGAAGTTGAGGAAATTTTTTTTTTCACCATTTGAGAGCCTTTTGAATATTCCGAAATTTTGCACATTGTCAGAAAACACCATGTAAAGATTTTATGTGAATACCCTTATGTTTCAATGAAGTACGAGATTATAGCTGAAGGACTGGGCTATCGAACAGTGTGAACCAAATTCAAATTGTTCTAAACTGAAAAAAGTTATTCACATTATGACAGGGGCGACATTTTGGTGTGCGACGAAATTAGTGTTGAGTAGTTTATAATCAATCATATCCCCCTAACGGCGCCACTGGTAGAGAAAAGGAGAATTTGTGTACATCAAAAATGCACCTTGATGCATAAAAGATATGTCACGACGAGCTTACACTATCTTTATAACGAGAATCAGTCGGAAGAAATCCATGAAAATGTGCTTGCTCATATTTTAGAATACACTCTCTCCATTTAAAATATTTTCGACAATGTAGTGTTGCCGCGGGGAAACACCCTGTCATTCATCGCATTTTCAGATTCTCCCTGAAGAGCTGACTTTATCGATGTATCACACTTGGGGTCTATCGAAAAAGATTACAGAAATATAGGGTGTTCAAAATCGAGATTTTTCAAGTTTAGGATTTTTTTGTCGAAACTATTCATTATCGGTCAAAACGGCTCACATGTCCCAATCTCAACTTTTGATCCACTATTTACTGATATTTAATCGGAACAGATACAGGGTGGTTCAAGATTCAGAATTCTGATCACCTGACATGACATGCCCATCGTCATAATATCGTGGTTGTATTGGTAAAAAGGGGGATAAAAGTAAACGGGTTTTCATTAGAAATGAAGGTCCCCGTGGCATAAGAACGCGATAAAAAACCAAATACCAAATCCCAGAAAGGAAAACTTAACGAGCACTCAGTGACGCTCATATAAACCGTATCAGGCTGCAAACAGGAAATGCAAAGAGTCCCGTACCCTTGAGAAAGCGCCACTAAATAATCCAAATATCAATGACAATTGATGGATCGAAATGCCAAACACGTGGTCTTAGGGCACGGGGTCCTTCATTTCTAATTCGCGATAGAAAATAAGCGTACGCCACCTATCGGAGTTCTTGAAAGCTGTCAAAGGGGCCTGTTCACTTTGTTTTCATTGGTTTACATTTGTTTTTTGTTTGTGCTTATATTGGTCACATCATCAAAACAAACCGTTCAGAAGTGTTCAAGTGGTTGCCGTCAGGTAGGGTAACGTGTTATTTTCTTTCGCGAATGAATACCCGTTCATTCTGATCCCCCTTTTTTTGAGAAACTGTTTCACCTCCATTAACTTCTAGATACGGCTGAATTTTGACTTTTAGTCCACAACATGTTTCCTCGATTGATTTACATCAGTAATAAAGTAGTGGAGATGATTTTGAGTTTTCCTTCTTCCTTTTGAAAAATTCCACTCCACTTTGAGCAAACATGGACTTCTAGGAGACATTATAGTTGCGTTTTATTTGACCGATTCCGCCACCAGAATCAGTTAATGTGTCGTTTTATTTGCTTTTCCGATTCCGGTTGCTACTTTTCATTCCGTCTCACTACAAGGAATGACGAGGAATGACTGTTAACAGTTGTCAAAAAATTGAATTAGTTTGACGAAGAACGAAACTTTTTGAAAGTTGAAGACATTTAGAAGACATTTTGATCCCCAGGTTCACAAGTTTATGATTGTTTCATTCCCAGATAAAATTGATTCTCCTCGGAATTCTCTCGATCTCTGAGAAGTTTCTCCAATCACCACAACCACTGCTATAAATATGCGTTGATTCATTTTCTAGATTTTTACTCTAGTATTATGATTATGAAATTATTCGGAGGCTCAATATATAAATTTAACCTCCATCATCTATAATATGTCAAGTGTCTCGTTTCATTTGTAAACTTCATTTTGTTCCCACCACCGCTACCAGAGTGGAACAAATAAAACGCAACTTATAATCGTTGTGTGGAACTCCCCCTCAAACATCAGATAATATTTCCATCCCGATTCCAGGAAGTAGCGTCGACAATGCCGTCGAAGAAGTAGTCAAGGTGCTCAGCGACCTCGAGAAATGCGCCCCCTCAAAAGAAGAATACTCCACCATGTGCCTGCTGCTCACCCTGCCCAGACTGACAGACCACCTTCACTACAAGGACTGGAACCCGAGCAACGCGCGGGTGCAGTGCTTCCGCGAGATTTACTCGCTGGTGGCGGAATTCCTGCCCGGGGACAGGAAAACCAGCGATGAGGAGCGTTATTCCAGTGCTAAGAACGACAGACTGATCCAGCTTATTATTAAAGGTGAAGCAACTGACATAACTACCAGTGATGCATAGCTTTTATTAAATCAAAACATCTCATTTTCCGTGATTATTTTGATTTTTTTTTTTTTTTCCTTATTTCCATTGTATATCTTTATTTGCTCAAACTTATTTGTTGTCTAGATTTGAAGTTAGAAAATCACCTCGGCGACATACAAGAAACCTTGTGTTGCCATGAAAATTTTCTGCAGCCTACCACGTCTTTCTTGTCGGAATAAGAAAATTCGTCTTTATAATGTGCTGTTGAATGAATATTCAATAGTTATGTTTTTACACTTACATAATAATAATAATAATGAATGATTTTATTGAGTCAGCATAAATGTACAACAAGTATTATTATACAGATATGTTTCTCAAACGGTAGAGTTCAATTCCACGATTGTATGGTAAACATGTAAATACTATGTAACTATGTATTTAAACACTATGTGAACACTAGGTTCAAACTATCTTCCTCCTTTTAATTTCCTGAACAGGTCTGTTTAGGTGACTTGTTTTTCCAGCAATAAGAATCGAAAATGGCCGCTTGTGAGAAGCAGTAGTTATTTCTCCAGTAAATTATCAGTATTTTGACAGTGTTAATGACCCTCAATTTAGTTGAAATCTATATCAAACTGAGCAGATTGAAATTGTTATCATTCTTACGTACTGTGCGTAAAACATTGTGTTGGCTTTAAGCTGTAAAGTGCATATAAATGATATGAAAGTGATAGTGGATTAAAGATATCTAAGTAAAAAATCAAGCAAAACCCAATCACAAAAACTGTCAACCATAACCGGATAAGGAGTTGAGCTGAAATAGTTTAGAAGGTGCTACCAGTGGCGTATCGGAAAGACTTTTACAATGTCGGGGAAGTGCTTCAAATGTAATGGAGATTGTGTTCTGAAAGACAATAAGGGGGAATTATTTGGTTATCCCTGCGACCAGTGTAAACAAATTGTTTGCAAAAATTGTGCTGGTTTATCAGCCTCTGAGGTAAGAGCTGTGGTGATTCCTACTAGGGTGATGCCCTTCTACTGTCCTCATTGCAGAGTGAACACTATTTCTTCTATTGCTCGGAAATTAAATAAGCTGGAAGAAGAAATCCAAGAAAATTCATCGAATTTCCATGGTAAATTCATTACTTTAGAACATAGAATAATAAAGATGGAACAGATTCTAGATTCGAACAAACTTATTGAGCAAAGATTATCAAAAATAGAGGAACTTATTGAGTCGAACAAATCATTGAATCACGAAGTCAGTGAAATTAAAAAACGTGTCGAATCTCAAACTCAGTCACAAGTTGACAGTGAAGCTTTATTCGGAGAGATTCAGGATAGAGCAGATAGATCCAAGAATTTGATTGTTTATAACGTCGAAGAATCTCATTCCAAAGAATTTTCTGAGAGAATTGCATTCGACAAACAACAATGTGAAAATGTTCTAGGTATGTTGATTGCTCAAGGCGATGAAATTGAATTTAAAGCATATCGTATTGGTCAGCCCAATAATAAACCCAATACTGCTCTGAGCTGTCTGAAGAATAAAAGAAAATTATTGGCCGAACATACTTCAATTCGGATAAGTGCGGATCAAACGCCAAAACAACGTGAATATTTCAAGAAGATCAAAGAAGAATATAATATGCGAATTGAAAAGGGCGAGCGCAACATTGAACTGAGATTTCACAGAGGAATTCCAGCTATTCAACAAAAAATAGTGAACAAAAAAAACTAAATAATACCCCATTACAAGTATATTGTCATAATGTGGGCGGTTTAAGAACAAAGCTCAATCAACTTTCAACGGCTGTGGCTTGTTCTGATTATGATATAATAGTATTAATAGAAAGTTGGTTAAATAGTGACATATCCAATCAGGAACTCAGATTAAATAACTATAATGTTTTTCGTTGTGATCGGTCTGAATCAACGAGTGAGAAATCTAGAGGAGGAGGTATACTGATTGCCATTCACGAGCGCATAAGTGCGAGAACATTGACTTTGGCAAATAAGGATAACGAGCATCTGTTTATTCTATGCAAGTATAACAAGAAGGATTTCATTATTGGCGGAGTATATCTGCCGCCCAACTCTTCTGAAGAAAAATATTTATCTCATGGTCAGGCTATAGAGGACACGATCTGAATATCCTCTGCTTGATTTCTATGTTTATGGAGATTTTAATTTGCCGGCAGTTACTTGGGTGAACGATAATCTAGGTGCAGCTACAGCTGGTCATCAAAACGATTGTTCTGCAATATTAGCCCAGTCCTATGCTTTTTTGAATTTCTTTCAACACATTGACATCCCTAATTCTAGAAATGTATTTTTAGATTTATTATTTTCTAATTTACAATCTGTTAATGTGAGTTTAGCAATTATGGATCCACTTTTTCCCAGCACGATACATCATGAGCCATATACCTTCAGCATTCATGCTAATAATATGGGAGTAGAGGCGCTCAAATATGTTGAGCAATATTATGATTTTACGAATGCTGATGTAGTTGGTTTAAATAATTACCTGGCGCCAATAAATTGGTCAGAATTCTTAGACACTAGCAATGTTAATGCAGCTGTTGAATCACTTTATCAAATTTTGTATTTGGCAATAAGACAATTTGTCCCTTTAAAACAATATAAGGTGTCTTCTTTTCCGAAATGGTTCGACGGGAATTTGAGGAAGTTGGTTACTCAAAAGAAAATCGTTCATAAAGAATATAAACAAACAGGCAATATGATATTTTATCAGAGATTTGTTGATCTCAGAATACAATGTAAAAACTTATCAAAAATGTGCCATGAGCAGTATTTGAATAAAATTGAAATCAACTTAGCAAACGATCCTAGTTCCTTCTGGAAATTTGTAAATAACAAAAACTCAGCTTACAATTTTCCCAAAAATATGAATTTGGAAAACGAACTCGCTAGTGATGGTGAGGCTATAACGCAGTTGTTTGCAGACTACTTTTCAACGATTTATGTGAATAATCAGAATGTTGCCCATGAAACTGTTACAAATACTACAAACTACGACATTAAATGCTCTAACTTTTCAGTTTCTACAGTTTATGATAAGATAGTCAAAATTCCTTCGAAGCTCACTTGTGGGCCTGACGGTATACCTAATATTTTTCTTAAACAATGTATATGTTCAATTACTAATCCACTTTGTTTGATTTTCAATTTATCCCTAAACTCTGGTATTTTTCCTGACAGCTGGAAAAACAGTTTCATAATACCTATCTTCAAATCAGGTGAGAAAGAAAATATTAAAAATTATAGAGGAGTTTCGAATCAATCTGCATTACCTAAGCTTTTTGACAGCTTAGTGCATGATCAAATTAGTTTTGCATGTAGAGAAATTATTGATAATAATCAACATGGCTTCATGGCTAAACGATCCACAGTAACGAATCTATTGATTTATCAAAATGACATTATATCAACTTTAGAACGGAAAATGCAAGTGGACTCAATTTACACAGATTTCAGTAAGGTGTTTGATAGAGTAGACTATAATCTGTTATTATTCAAATTAAGTAGTTTGGGGTTTAATGATATTCTAATAAAGTGGATTGAAAGCTTTTTGAAAGGTCGCAAACAGAGGGTTAAAGTAGGATCTTATCTCTCAAATGATATTGATGTGTCATCAGGAGTTCCGCAAGGTTCACACTGTGCACCACTATTATTCAATTTATTTGTCAATGATATAGGTAGTTGCTTCACTCACAGTAAATATCTAATGTTTGCCGATGATTTGAAAATGTATGGACATGTTAACTCATATGTAGATGTATTGAATCTCCAAAGAGACCTAAACAATTTAGTTAATTGGTGTGATCAAAATAAGCTGAATCTCAACATTGATAAATGTACGTCCATAAGTTTCTATAAAACAAATAAAAAATATGATTCTTCTTGAAAAGGAATATTCTCAGATAAATTATAAACATACAAAAATGGATATATATTTATATAAAGCAATACATTGAGAATTCGCATTCTCTATGTGATGAGAATATTTACTCTTTTTCAGTTAATTCAATAGAAAACAACTACTTTCCTGGCTATATGCCACGACGAACATTGAATTATATCTATTGAACACACACGATAAGAGTTTGAAAATAAAATATAAAAATTTCTGAAATTGTGTTCAATAGATATAATTCAATGTTCGTCGTGGCATATAGCCAGGAAAGTAGTTGTTTTCTATTGAATTAACTGAAAAAGAGTAAATATTCTCATCACATAGAGAATGCGAATTCTCAATGTATTGCTTTATATAAATATATATCCATTTTTGTATGTTTATAATTTATCTGAGAATATTCCTTTTCAACACTTTCATACCCAATCAGGGGGTTCAAACTTGAACGATGGAAACTTGTGATTTTTATAGACCTCTAATCGCAGATTCGTGATAGAGTCTCAATTCAGAATTCATTTCCACGCCCTGTATGATGAATGTCAATTTATCATACACCCAAAAGCATGATTCTTCTTATTATATCAATAATAAGGAACTTTTATCAGTAGCGTCATTGAGAGACTTAGGGGTTGTTTTTGATGAAGATATGACTTTTATAGAGCACATTAATAATGTATCAATAAAGTCGTCCAAGATGTTAGGATACATCCTTCGAAACTGTAAGGTTTTTTCTGTCCATACTGTCAGGAAATTGTATATGTCATTGGTGGTCTCTCACCTAGATTATGCTTCTATCATTTGGTCACCTTTCTATCAAATTCACAAATACACTTTAGAACGTACACAAAATAAATTCCTAAGATTCTGTGCTTTCAAGCTTAATGTTGTTATTGAAAATCATGATTATGCATTCATTCGTGGTGAATTGAATTTGCAGAGTTTGAAAAATCGTAGAAAAACCACTGATATTTGTTTTATTTTTAAATTAGTTAATGGAATGGTTGTTTGTCCAAAGTTGTTGGAGTTGATCAATTTCAATGTTCCAAACAGAACATTAAGAAATGCTAACCTATTTAGAATGTCTCACCATGCTACTAATTATGGTCTACACTCACCTATTGAGAGAACATTGAGATTGATTAATGAAAATGGTTTGGACATATTTCATGGGTCTCTTGATAGTTTCAAAACACTGGTTAAATCTGTAAATAGATTTAGACTTAAGACTAGTATTAATAATATTTATCTTTCAAAATTTTTTTATGTAATGGGGTTTCCCGTAAATAAATAAATAAATAAATAAATAAATTTAATTCCATCCAAATCATGGTTTTGTTTAATCGCTTTGTGGTCATGGTCCCATCAGCCAGAAATCATGATTAAAATTGAAAAAAGTAATATTGTCGCAACCGAGATAACAACTATCTAGACCCATATAATTATGTCATATACCAGCAACACAAAAATCTTGTGTGAATTACTCGCCTGAAAACGCTTCTGATCAATGCCCTGAAACTCCCGAACCAAACTGTCGTTCATGACATCGAGTCATGTCTTTTGGTGTCTGGAAACATAAGTAAGAGTGAGTAAGATATATGACAGGTCCTGAATGTGCATAATTCAACTTCTCCAGATAGATTTCGTAAGTGGCATATCTTCTTTTTCATACCATTAGCGCAGTCTAGGTTGTATTAATGGCAGTGGGTAAAGCTTGAGTCACTGGATGGTATTAGTAGGTAACAGTTCGGACACAGCTGAACTCCTGTCCTTTTCTATTTTCTATATTACAATGGTTTTAGTGAATAAAAGAAAAAGCCATATATTTTTCTCTTTGTCTTTTCAATTTCTCTAAAAGCGCCTGATTGTCAGATACGATTTTAGAGGTTAGATTTTCTGTCGAATCGATTAAAGCCGTCGATGGAAAATAGAGATAGGGTATAAACACCCACTTCAATTTATAGCGATGTAACGGCACTTTGAGCAGAACAAAAGTTTAAAGATGAAAAAAATGCATGTAACAACATTTTAATATGACAAAGTAGACACATTATATGGACAAAGAAATTTACGTAATGGTGGCGGAATTCCTGCCCGGTGACAAGAAATCTAGCAATTAGGGGCGTTATTCTTATGCTAACAACGACAGACTGGTATTATTAAAGGGGAAGAGGAGTTCACATGATCGGCTTTCGACCTATAGGAAAAATGTCCGAACAGTTCAAACTTACGATCTTGAACAGCGCATTCTTGCGGTAAAGTGCTATAAACTGAAAAGTCAGGAGCTATCATGTGAACTCGAAATTTGGAGATAGAAATTAACGCTAGTGGTGGAATTCCTTGCCCGGGGACAGGAAAAGTAGCAGCGAGGAGCGGTAGTGCTAAGAACGACATACTGATCCAGCTTAACAACTTTTCAATTGATTTTAATTCTTTCTGTTCCATGAATATTCTTCAACTCATTAGGTCATTAGTTATAAAAAATTATTCCACTAGGGTATATCGATTGTTTTCTAAGCGAGGAGTGGTAGTGCTAAGAACGACATACTGATCCAGCTTAACAACTTTTCAATTGATTTTAATTCTTTCTGTTCCATGAATATTCTCATTAGGTCATTAGTTATAAAAAATTATTCCACTAGGGTATATCGATTGTTTTCTAAAATTTGAGTTATAATTAATAATTGCTATCAATAAATTTAATTGCATTTTGTGTGGGTATGTATTGTATAAACTTCATTGAAAATCAGTTGTTCATGAAAAATGTGTCCACATTTGGATGCATTATCATCTGGGGCTGCCAAGGTCTGCGGCCAATTTACATAAACATGAAATAACTCCACTCTGGAGCAGCCGGATCGGGCAATGCATTACCAAGACGAGAGATTAAGCTTCATGACTTTTCGGAGTAATATATTTCATACTTATATATTATATAATTGGGCGATTACTTTTAAGTCCCCTGTTTGAGGTGGCAATCCGACTCTTGCTTCACCCCATTGTCGCTCATTTTCAATGTGAATTTGTGATATTGTTTCAGGTGTTTTGTACGAATTCTGCGTGAATTTCTGCCAAGCCAAAGCCACCGGCATCACGGAACCCCAGTGCCAAGATATCTATTTCAGCAAACTCCTGGAAGGCAGCGACGGTTTCAGGTAACTACAATATACTTGTGTGAAAATATTACAATGAAGTTGATATGATCGTTTTTCTACGGCTATAACACAAAAAAATATTATTTCCGTATCTGATATCACAATGACTCAATTGTGTTATTATTCAAAAAAAAATCGCATTGTTCATGGAATGTCGAATTTCAAGCAATGGCAGCTCTGTCTAATAGATGAGCATTACTTGACAGGAAATCAGATGGCTACAATAAGACGAAGAAATCGAAAATGTCCTTGTTATCTATTATAGTGTATAACTTGCACGGAATGCTAATTTCCAACTCAAATGATTGCAGCATTCGTCTATGGCTCATGCTGTGAACTTCATTCTCGTAGGAAATCACTATCATTCCGTGCTCGTTAAACAATATACTATTTTCTACGGCTATAACACAAAATTGCTTTTGTTTTACTGTGTTTGATAAATCAATGAGGTTCTTAGTATGTCATCAATTTCATTTCCGTATCTGATATCACAATTACTTCTTGTGTTATTACTTCTCAAAATCTAATCTCCCATGAAATGTCACATTTGAAGCAATAACAGCTCTTTCTAATAGATGGGCATTACTTAAGGGAACATCAAATGGCTACAATAAGCTGAAGAAATAAAAAAATTCACTGTTATCTCTTACAGCCGTAGAAAAAGTATAGTGTACGTCGTCTACGGCACATGCAGCAATCTTCATTCTCGTGGGAAGTGATCATTCTGTGCTCGTTAAACAATATACTATTGAACTTCATTCTCAATTCAAATGAAAATTTGAGACATGAAATGTGACTTTATATATATTTTTTTATGTATCGGTTTACGGAGACATCAAACAAAAAAAAAAAAAAGTTATGAGAACAATCCAAAGATTTTGGCACCTTATTGAAAATGAAAATCATCTAATGGAATACCAATCAATCTTCTAATGTGTGGGGCCAAAAATGAAAGTATTATCGAATTATCTTGTTTAGGTCTGAATACCCAACTATTAATAATTAATATATCAGTTTATAGAGGCTATCTAATTGAATGCTTCGAACTCTCAAAGACAAATGCCACTCTTCCTCTCATATACAGGGTGTATCTAAATGAAGTGAAAAAAATTCAAGGGGTGTTTCCTTACACAGATACAGGATGTTGAAGCTGGTAGTATTAATTGTTTCCATTTATAACCCCCCTGTATAAGCTTTCATGGTGGCAAAATTCAGTATGGATGAACTTTATTTTCTGAAATATCACCCCTTGAATTTTTTCGGTGTTATTTAGATACACCCTGTATAGCATATCTCACTTTGAGCTGTCCTCCCTCTATATCTCAGCGATTAGTCATGCCATTTGTACCAAATTTCGACCGGTATGAATAACCATCAATATGATAAGTTTTTCAGAGACAAACATCATTTTGGACAGTGCCGTGCTTTTTTATTGTAATAATAAATGTTGATTTTTTATGAAATCATATTAGGATTTTTTTGCAAGAAAACTAACTTTATATTATTCTTCCTCATGCTTTAGAACCTCCATATGCAAAAAATCACCTCTTTCATTTTCTGCCTCCACGATATAATAAATTCAAATTAAATGCAAAGTTTGGCACGTTCAATAGCTCTCCGGTTGGTAGAAATCTATGATTTGATTTTTTTGGTGTACTCATCGTTTCCCAGTAAATGATTATTTACGTTCGCATATATGCTGTTTGATGTGCCTGTTTTTCTTAATTCTTCATAGAAATCATATAGAAATTTACATCCACATTTTTGCTGTCGAAAATTCTGCTGATATAGATAGAACATGGCATTCACTTCTTAAATCTGCGTATTGAAATGGTGAACTCAAGTTCAATTAGAAGAACAACCTGTAACTCACAAATTTTTCTGACAATTTCTGCCACTGAGAATTGTCCGAATGAACGAAGACATCAATATAAAAAAATATGTTCCTTTTCTATGTTGAAATTGATGTTTCCGAAATGTCCAGAAATTAGTGAAATTTTATATTTATACAATACTTTTTCTAATATTTCTCGAATATCAAACTATTGATTAAATTTTTCTCTTAGGTTCCTAATAGTCACATTTTAAGCGCAGCATCTGATTTGTTATCACTACAGGTGTATTGAGATAATACTAATATATTTACTTATTCAGTTCAGACGAAGAGAGAAAATCACAAGACATTTTGAGAAGTCAGTTACGTTTTTCAAAATGCACCTCTATCCAGTCATAATCAATCAGAGAGCTAAGATATCTTCCAATGGCCGAAACGTGGCTCATTGTGTTGTAATGACAGTGGTCTACATTGATCCAAAGCTTAATACTAATCTGTTGCTTTCTATTCTGTGAATATACATGAGTATTAATTTACTTCCAGTGACTCGGATCTCAGCTTACTCTCGTGGCTGCAAAGCGTGCCTCCCGAAACTTTTTCCGTGCCCTTCGAGCAGCGCACACTCAACATGGATATAGAACGGTTAGTATAATACATTTTTTCAACGGTGGGGGTTAAAAGTCGAAATATAGTCCAGTTGAAGATTGAGGTTATCCTAAATGAACACTTAATTAGTACCCAAACTTGAACGACGGAACTTTGTTTTTACAGACCTCTGATCACAGAATCGTGATTGAGTTTTCTCAATTCAGAATTTCTTCCCACGACCTGTACGATGGATATCAATGCATCCATACACTATCAATATAATATTGACAGTAAATTTAAAAAAAGAAGAGGAAATCGTCCTTATTGATCACATTTTCAGTGAGCTAGTGACCTCTATGCCGAACTTAGTTATTCATTTATTATTCTTACCCTAGAAAATGTTCATATTCCTATCAAAATTGAAGTTTTATAATCAAAAAGTACTACAAGTACTGTATCGTCTTCCATATGACATCCCATCAAATCAACTTTATGAAGAAACCAATACATTTTCTTTGGAAGAGCACTATCTGATGAATGCTCCTAAAATTTCTTTCGATATTATCAACAAATACCTCAAATCTAACTTCATATTGGTATGAAATTCTCAAATCCATGAGCATCATACTGGACAATATGACTTGTTTCATCTTGAGGCTGCTAATTCTGCACTTGGCCAAAAAAAGTTCACTCACGGAGCTATCTCAAAATTCAATAAATTACCTGATGATTTCAAAAGTTGCACAAATATCACCCAATTCAAAATGAAATCAAGAAACATATCCTCTTTATTTATAATTTATTTCATCATGTCATAACGTACTTTTCATGAGCTTTTTGTTTTATTATTATTATTTTTGAATCTGTTGTTTAATTATTCATGTAATTTCATTGTAAATATTAATAAAAATCATTTGTATTTATATGAGATGCAATGTAATGTTTATAGCAAAGAATGAAATGAATATTATTATCATTATTATTAAAAATGTCTCATCTTCAAACATTCCAAGTACTTACATTAATACGGAGAGCAGTATGCTTAAAAAAGAAACTGCTGTTTATGCAATAGAAAGTGATCAGTAATGAAATGATGGCATGCAAACCGTGAGGTAAGGTCTAATATTCTTCCACTGTATAATACTCTATATTTTTTTGTGGCAGGAAGAAGGACGAATCAATATTGAGAAGATATTACATTGTATCAAAATCATAAAATAATCGACGTGAAATTTGAAGTTTTTAACAAGAATTACACCTGCATTGCAGGCATCTTTTTGCATCTCTATTATTATTGGAATGGAAGATACAAGGACTCAGTTCTTTCTCGGATATGGTGATATTGGCTAATTTTTCGGAACTGGCATAACAAAAGTGGGAAAAAAGTAATTCTCGAAAAGTGACATTTTGTGACCTGTCAACAGATAAAATGTCAAACTTCTTTCCCGTCACAGAAAAAAAATCTATTTGGGCCCATTATCTAAAAATGAGCTATTACAGAAATAAGATGCCACTGTATTATACGTAGAAAGTTATATTCAACTTTACCCTCTATCTCAAACGAATGAAGGACTGTGAAAATTATGTTTGCGGCATTAGTTGTTCAAAAAAAGTAAGATAGTAATGTGCAAACCGCAACACTTTATCTCCAAATATAACTAAGATATCGCGCAACAGTAAATTAAGAGGAGATAGTGCTCAGCTAAGTTCAAGAGCTTGTCTTCAGGTGTAAAAATCTGTTGAAGTTTACTGTTGAATGTCCAGTTGAATTAAATTGAAAAATCGTAACTAAAACTAGAAATATGATCTAATTATGTTAACTATTAGCTAACTATTATTCAGAGACTCAGATGATTGAAGTTGATTCTGAAACGTATATAAAAAATAATGATGACATGGAAAATAAAAATTATTAAATTCACCTGAAGAAATTATTTTCTCGATTGGATCGATGACATAAGAGAAGTATTTTCTACCATTAGAAGGAGAAGTATTTTCTACCATTAGACAATATCCAATTCTTCAGTTTGACTTTGAAAAGACGAGCCGAGTAAAGTTGTTTCAAGTCATTTGGTACTTTATTGAATAATTTTGAACTTGGGTCTTTCAGACTTAAATGTATATACGATACTTGCAGATAGAGGACAGTGTGAAGGTTTCAAATCACCACCCATTGATGTGTCTACCGTCTCTAATAACTGAGATACAGGACGTTATCTCGATCTTGGCAAAACCTTCATCTGGTCATAATTTTTGAACAACTCCGTATAATCTATTCATACTTGGTGAATATATTCCACTCATATTTCACATCAAAACTAAATAGAAATCGCGATCAGAATCCAGATCCGTCTTGAGGAAAAACAGAAAACTTTTTTTATTTCAAAAACAACACTGTATGGCAACATTTTTGTGAATCTGTTTTGATATTTGGAAAGAAAAAATGATCATTATAGTCAATGTAGGTGAATTATTGATAGATTTGTTCGTTTAACAGAATAACTTTTCAATGATTTTAGAAATTTTCGAGGACTCACTTTATTCTTCACTATTTATTCATAAGCTGCGGAAAGTAGGCTCTGCAAAAAAGTTTGAAATTCTGACAGTTTATTATCACCAGTGTGATATAATTGGTTACATTAAGTTTTGGTGTTAAAGCATAATTATGAACACTTTGGAATCTAACAACCCAATACATAAGCACCAACAGTTATCTAATATCACACTAGTGATTATAGGAACTGTCAGAGTGTCAGACTTTCTGCACCGCCCACTTTCCCGTAGCTCATGAATTAATAGCGAAGAATAGAATGAGTGTTCAAAAATTTCTAAAATCATCGACAAAATATTCTGTCAAAAAGAAAAAATCAATCGATAGTTGACCTAATCTGACTCTAATGAAATTGATCTCTAAAGACTGTTTTTTTTTTGTGTAAAATAATTGGATTTTGAATTACGGGTTCAATAAAATTGCGCGCTCGTAAAAAGTAGATCACTTCATTCGTTTTTCCCTGATCTTTTCAATTATCGAAACAAATCTACAAAATTCTGCTATTCAGAGTGTTGTTTTTTGAATAATAGTTATTTATTATACTAGGGAAGAAAGTAGTAGATTGTAGCTCGAGGTTGTGTTGTCTCCCGACGCGTAGCGGAGGGAGACAAAAAACCTTGAGCTAAAATCTAATATTTTTCCCGTGTATAATACACTATTTTTTTCTGTGACAGGAGAAAGGACGAATCAATATTGAGAAGATATTACATTATTTTGAAATCTGAAAATTATCGACGTGAAATTTTAAGTTTTTAACAGTACTGCGTTGTAGGCATATTTATCATTCTTTTGAAGTAATCAAATATCTGATGTCACTTCTGTCAGTCTAATTATGAGATTTGATTTCAAAAAATTGATAATTTAGTGGTTGTTTAGTAATATACATATCCGCGAAGTCGAATGGAAGATGAAAGGACCTGCAGTACTTTCTCGGAGACGGTATTATGGACTCATTTTTCGGAACTATAGCACAACAAAAGTCATCAATAATGTATACCTATATATGTGATATATATCCGGGAAAAAAGTACTCACTTTTTTCCCGGATATATGTATATCTGTCTACAGGTGTTGTATGTACATTTAAATCTAAAACACCCTGTTTATTTCTATGACCAAGCGATTTATGAGTAGCATAAATGACAGATACGATATTTCGCCTGCCACCGTCGGTATGTGGTAGATTACTATACGTTAACTATTTTTTCCCATGAAATTCGCACAGGCTGGAACGGCCCAGCCTGGAGACCTCCTGGACCGAGCACATCCTCGTCACCCCCATCAAGCCGAAAACCTTCCCCCATTCGGCGATGCCGTTCACGCGGCCCCGCTCCGCCGCCGACGCCATGTCCCGCTCGCTGATGCCCGCCCTCGAAGGCGGCGGGCCGCGGGACGGGGCGCGGCGAAGCGGCCCGGGGGCGGCGCAGTACCATAACGGCTCCGCGCGGATGATGGCCGCCAGCACGGGGGACATCCTGTCGAACGGGCCGATGACCAGAAGCAGTTTCGCCAGCTTCCATTTGACAGGTAATGTACAACTTTCGCCGTTTCAGAATAACAATGACGTAACTGCAACATTTTTGGAAAGTGAATCTACAGTATGGTGGAAATGTATGGAATAAATTCATTATCTCTAACGCATATGAATTTGAAAATGTTACAATTATAGCCTATATAAGTGCAATTCACCCTATTGAAATTATTTCCCTTTGAGTACATGATTCGAAAAACTCTCTACATACTTGTCCAATGAATTTTAGAGCATTCTAGTTTATACCATTGCTTATAAGTAAACAGAAAATATCATCTGGAGTTGAAATCAATGAGATCCTTCATCTGTTTTCATTTTTTAAACCAAGGAAGTCATTAAAAGTGTTGACACAATTGATTAAGATGTTTTTTTTTTCAGCATGAATTAAGACATAACTTCAATTATCCATATCAAATTTAAAATATTATCTCTTTGAACATACTACATTGAAGTATGAGGGTATACTCCCAATGTATCGAAGGTTCAAGCTCATAGATGACATCGCCTATTTGGAAATCGGAAAATTATTATTCTGGGGCAGCGATATGAGATTTGACAAGAGCAAGAGCGAAACAAGGCACTAGAGTGAGAGTTACGAGAGTGAGACATAAAAGTGTAAAAGCGAGACACGAAAATGTGCAAGGGAGACACGAGACAAATACGAATGTGAAAAACTGTGAAAGTGAGACACAAAAGTGTGAAAGTGAGACACTAAAGAGTGGAAGTGATACGAAAGTGTGAAGGCGAGAGACGAACGTGTTACACTGAGCACGAGAGGGTATGAGACACTAAAGCCTATGAAAGAAAACTGAAAGTGTGCGAGAGAGACCACAAAGGAGTGTGAGAAAGGCACGAAAGGATGTGACATGAAATTGTGGAAAAATTAGAGAACCACGAACGTGTGTGAGAGACTGAGGAGTGTGAGAGAGAAACCAAAGCGTGAAAATGAAACACGAACGTGCGAAAGTATGAGGGTGGGAGAGACACGACGCGGAAGTGTGAAATTGAGTCATGAACGTTTCAAAGTGAGACACAAAAACGTGTGAGAGAGACACAAAAGCGTGTGAGACGAGACACGATATGGAAGTATGAAATTGAGATACGAACGTGTAAAATTCAGAATCGAGTGTGAGCGACACGAAAATGTGTGAGAGAGACCCGAAAGTATGTGAGATGGACCCAAAAGTGTGCGAGAAAATTAGGAAAGTGTTTGAGAGAAATACTAAAGTGTATGATAGACACAGAAGTATGTGAGAGAGAAATAGAAAGGATTAGTCAAAAGTTTCTAAATGATAGAGAATCATGAACGTGTGAAAATAATAGGAAACCAGGAATGAACAATTCTTAGTCTTTTCTGAATTGTATAAGTAAACCAGTCCAACTCAAAACAACTGATCAATTTTCGATTTTGCTGAAATATTGGATACTCATGAAAGTTATTCTATTTTTCAATATGCGGACAAAGAAAGTGTTTTTTTTCGTCGAACCTTGCGCAACTTTAACATTGAAATCGTTTGAAAATTAAATAATAATTATCCCCAAGAAATAACTGAGAAAAAATCTATGAGAATTCAAGTACAAGTACTCTGAAACGTAAAATTAGCATCTCCAGAGGTATTCGGTTGTCTACTTTTGGTTGAGGAACTTTGTCCAATTGGTTCATTATGAGCTCAGGTATTTGCAACTTTCCCATTTTCTCTTAAAATCAGGATAACACGCTCAACATTTCTTGTCGCTGTTTCAATTGTAAGTGAACCTTGTTGTTTTCAACACACCTTACAATATCAAATTATTTATTTCAGGAATAAAATCCAACAAGTTGATGAACACCTCGGTGGACCGGCTGTTCGAAAACGACCAAGTTTTCCTCAGCAGCAGCTACGCAGAATTTCAGCAACTACCTTCCATACAGGAACAGACTAGCACGCCAAAAATCAACGCCAACTACAACTCGAATTCCGCCAGTTTGGAGGATAAACTTTCCACTTCGTCGTTGGACAACAAAGGAAGAGAAAGCCCAGCCTCCTCCGTAACATTAAGGTAATTTTTCATAGTCTGAAAATCGAAAATTTTCGGACAGCAGTCACTGTCAATGCATTTCAATTTCCGTGGTTGTAGTTGCGTTTCAAGTGGATCTGGAATTTTACTCCACTCCTATGAGTTATAGGACAGTTATAGGAAAACTATCATAGGTATTACCAAGAGTGCTCACAATTCTATTGATTATAATTCTGCCATAAATCAACGAGATCTAATTGCTTAGTATCTTATATAGTTACACCACGAAAATTCGAAATACATGAATATAATTCATAGCTATAATGGAAAACTCTCACCACTGGTCGCTGCTTTATGGTGTGGTTTCCTTTTTTGTTAAATTTTTTTGTTGGGCCTAAATGGTCGATTTTAAACACGTTGCTCCTCTGATCTGAAACATAGTTGGTTCCTATCAAACTTCCTATTTTGAATATATAGGAGATTGAAATCATGAAAGTCACATGGAATAAGAAATCGAAATATACATGAAAACTACTTTCTATTCCGTTTCTGAAACGCGACACATTGTTATATTACTCAAAAACCGAACGGAACAGTTAGCCAAAAATATTCTCGTAAATGAGAAATACTGTATTTACCCAACTCATCAGGCGCCTACCCCAGTTGCAACGACGTTTTACTGATGCCAAGGGTTGACACTCTCCCTTCGTGAGGGCACCTGTCGTGTCTCCATTGAGACATAAAGGTGACTATCGAAAAATGTTCTATGATATATCGCCCTCCATAATGAATATAAAATTTGGACGAAATATTCGAAATGAATTGAATATAATTCGTGAATGGGAATGAAAAACTCGATCACCGGTCGCTTGTTTCTGGTCTGGTTTCCTCTTCTGTAAAATTTTTCCATCGGTTAATAACACATCGTTTCTTCGATCTAAAACATAGTTGGTATTATATCTCTAATTTGAAATATATTGAGAATTGAAATCATTGAATAAGAAACTGAAAAACATATGAAAACTTTTTTCAAATTCCGTTGCTGAAACGCGACATATTTCTTCTATTACTCGAAAATGAACGGTACAGATAACCAACAATTTTCTCCTTAATGAAACACTGCATATACCTAATCCATCAGGCGCCTACCTCGGTTGCAACGAGGGTTTACCGATTTCAAGGGTTGATACTCTCCCCTCGTAAGGGTACCTGTCGTGTCTCCACCGAGACATGAAGGTGACTATCGGAAAATGTTCTATGATATATATATCGCCTTCTACAACACATATCAAATTTGGTTGGAATATTGGAAATAAACCTAATATAATATATAATAATAATAATATAATAATAGTTTTATTTCCCACCACGTATTACAGCAAGATACATGTAATTTAATGAAAATAGTAATTAATAAAATAAAATTATCAAACATTTTGGCAGAGTATGAGAGTAACACAGTGAGAAAAAGGCACATTGATTCAGATAGCAGTAGATACTGTTTCTGTTCTTCCATCACGGCCTGAAGAGATACAAAAAAATCATTTTACAGCGTAATGTCTCCTTTATATCAACGTTTAAAGTGATTTCGAAGGAACGATAAAAAAAAAAAAAAGAAAAAAAAGAAGGAAAAGAAGAAAGAAAGAAAAAGAAGAGAGGAGAGGAAAGAGAAAAGAAAGAGCATTATTTTTAATCAAGGCATGAGCAAGCATGAGTTCACTGGGTATCAAATAAGTATTTTTTGAATTTGAGACGAAATGCTGATCGCGATAATTCCAAAAAAGTGCTGTCTAGTTTGAGAATATTATTGATACAAATTGCGGCATTGTAAGAGAAAGAACGTCTATATATTTGTTTAGTGTGTCTGGGAACAGTCAGCAGTGTTTGACGACGAATGTTCAGATTGTGGACGTCAGTTCTGAATTTTAATTTCTTATGAAGATAGGGTGTTGTGTTTGATTTAAGTATATTGTGGAACATACACGCCATATGATGACGTCGCCTATTATCCATATTGAGCCATTTCAATTGTTTGAGCTTTTCCGAAATAGATATTCGACTAGATTTACGTATGCCATAAATGAGACGAACACACGATGTTTGCACTTTTTGTATTCGGCGAGCATCTATCCCGTTCAAGCAAGGACTGTATACTACATCGCAGTGGTTGAAGTGTGAGAGAACCAAGGAGTCGCAGAGCATTTTTTTCACCTCCACTGACAGAAACTGTCTCTGCGTATAAATCAGCTTAAGAGATGAATATGCATTCCTCAATTTATTTGTAATATGTTCATTGAAACGAATAGATGTATCTATTGTCAAGCCCAGATTTTTGTGCGAAGATTTAATAGGTATTTCCGTATCACCTATTTTCAGGGTGATTCGATCATTCGATGCATATAATGAATTTCCTTTGCCAAATATCATTGCAACAGATTTTTTGGGGTTAATTTTCAGAGCATGATCGCTTGATAATTTTTGTAATGAATCAAGATCGGTGTTGATGTAATTAATGGCTATTGCCAGATCCGAAAAATTGAATGAAAAATAAATCTGTGTGTCGTCAGCGTAAAAATGGTAATTACAGTATTTCAAAACTTCTATGAAATTCGAAGTATATAATGTGAATAAGAGAGGACCAAGAATACTACCCTGAGGTACTCCACAAAGTAGTTTCTTGGGAGTGGATTTCTCGTCATTGATTTTTACTATTTGTGTTCTATTATGCAAATATGAAGCCATTAGAGAACGTGCTGACTTGCTGAATCTAAAGTAATGTAACATTGATAAAAGTATATCATGATCAATCAGATCAAATGCCTTCGAATAGTCAAGAAGAATTAGTATACTCATTTGATTTCGTAACAAGAATTAAAAAACGTATCACCGGTCGCTTTCTGGTCTGGTTTCCTCTAATGTGCAATTTTTTCGTCAAATAATAGAAGGTCGTTCCTTCGATCTGAAACATAGTAAATATATTGCGAATTGAGATCATGAAAGTTACATGGAATGAGAAACTGAATTATATATGAGAACTTTTTTCAAATTCCGTTGCTGAAACGCGACATATTCTTCTATTACTCAAAAAATGAGCGGAACAGATAGCCAACGATTTTCTCCTTAATGAGAAACACTGTATATACCTAACCCATCAGGCGCCTACCCCGGTTGCAACGAGGGTTTACCGATGCCAAGGGTTGGTACTCTCCCCTCGTAAGGGTACCTATCGTGTCTCCATCGAGACATAAAGGTGACTATCGGAAATTTGTCTATGATATATCGCCTTCCACAACAACTATAAAATTTGGAAGAAATATTCGAAATAAATTGAATATAATTCATAACAGGAATGAAAAATTTATCGCCGGTCGCAGGTTTCTTGTCTGGTTTCCTCTTCTATACAATTTTTCCCTCGACTAATAACACGTCGTTTTTTTGATCTGAAACATAGTTGGTATTAGGAGAATCTCGAATTTGAAATATATCGAGAATTGAGATCATGAAAGTTACATGGAGTGAGAAACTGACTATCGAAAAATGTTCTATGATATATCGCCTTCCATAATAAATGGCGAATTTTGAAGAAATATTCGAAATAAAGTGAATATAATAGGAAACAGAAATGGGAAACTCGATCATTACTGGTCGCTGGTTTCTTGTCTGTTTTTCTCTGCTATGCAATTTTTCTGTTGGTCTCAAATGGTTTATTTATCACACAGTTTTTCTTCGATCTACATTATAGTTGTTATTAAATCTCGAATGTGATGAATATGAAGACGACTATCGGAAAATACCCTTTACATAGATGAACATTTGTCATGATCAAAACATATTGAAATACTTAAAAAAATATCTCCAATGATAGGTATACTTTTTAGGGAACGGAATCAAGTTCCTATAAAATGTCTCAAATCTATATACTCCTCTTCGATCTATTCTAAACTTGAATATTTGATTTCTGCATGGGGTTCAACAAAACTATCAATTATAAAGCCTCTCTAAACTCTTCAATTCAATTATTCGGAACCTACTATGAACCTTTACAGAAGAAGAGAGTCATTAGATATAGATTCACTATATAAATTCAAATTAATGTCGTTCATTCATTCAGTAAAACATTGTCAAAAGCATTCAAATTTGGTTTTCCAAATCAATAGTAATCACCACAACCATACAACTAGACAAGCAGATCATTTTTCTGTCACGAAAATGAAATCAGATATTGGTAAAAAATCCATCTATCACAATGGAACGATACAATACAATTCACTACTAAATAACTTGAAGCTGATTAATAGGATTGAAAATTTTAAAAAAGAATTCAAGAAACATCTTTTTTATAGTTCAAGAAACATCATTTTTATAGTTTTCTTGTACAACTACTATAGTTTTCTATTGGGTAACTAACAGCTGTGTCAATTGAGAATCATTTTCAGTAGAACTTGAAAAAAATTGAAAGATTTTTCTTGAGTGTGAGTCTTATTTTACTGTCTTCTTCATTTTATTTTGTCAAATATATTCACGTATTCACTATGTTCCCTGCTATAAGCAAATGTTGTTTCTTGGGATTATTAAAGTTGATTGATTAATTGAAAAAACTTCCATAATAATAATAATGAAAGTACTATATTGAACAACAATGTTCAAATGGCTATCGACCAAGGTCCTTCTGCCTTCTGCCAGCAACTTACATAAAAAATATAAATTTTGAATAAATGTTCGAAATTAATTGAATTTCAAATAGCGCCAAAAGTTAGTGCATGTTAGGTGATCATTTTAGGTGCAATTAAAATAGTCGCAAGTCAAAAAGCATACAGGGTATGTCAAAAAATTTTAAAATTGCTCAAGAGTAAATTATCCTCTTTTCAGAAAATTAAGCAAAGTGTTTTCTGGGACATATTTTAGTTTTTCATTTTTTTTTCGTCAATAACTTCCCAATTTGTATTTTTTTTATGTTCACCATAAACACTTTCATAAGTTAATCATAACAAAATCAGTTGAGCATACTTTTCATCAAATTCAAGCATATTTGTGCAATTAAC